TCCCGATGTCAAAGTTAATCCGGAGTACCTTCAGCTTTTTAATTAACGGTATTTATTATATTTTCAATATTTTTGTGTATGACTGCTGGTCAAGAGGTCCCAAAATTTGCCATAGAATATTTTTGTCAAGAAATTCTCAGTAGCTGCTCGGAGATAGGTAGTTGATGATGTTTCATTCTCGTGCCTCGCAATGCACGTAAAGTTATTGGTCCTGCGCCAGTTCTCTCTCCGGTCATAGATAATATACTATATAGGGCATAGATGAGCCACTCTGACAAATTATTAGGTGACGAAACGTGGGAAGTTTCTTCTGCGTGCGTATAGATGGCGTTGGGATTATAAATTACTGAAAATTACACTAGAGGGCACTATCAACTAGGTTCAGTATTATTTCGTACATATTTTAATAAAATTAAAAGAAAATTAATTTAATTACTAACTAATTTGTTTTACATAACTCTTCATTTAGTTTGTTTTAGGTGAGCATGGTATAAATTGCTTCGTTTATTCTCATAAAATTATTCTATGTATATACCGCTGTATTTCAAAACTTCGATAGCATGATTTAGGCTTCGGTATAAATAATGAATACCAGCAGTGGTGCCATCTTATAATAAAATGTGTAAAAATATTGGGGTAAATAGTACTTTGGCTGACTATGAGATGGCGCTAGTATCAACGTAAAAGCAAGCTACTAAGGACTTTCATACCCCTGTCTCCGGTTGTGTCGTAATACCGTTCCATCGGACTATGAGAGTCGGGGAATAGAGAATGCACACGTGCACTATAATCTTGTCCTAGCCAGATGGCACAATCCGTTGAGACTGGCCGTGTGACCAAAATTCGGTCTCGCGGGCATTATTTTATATTGTTATAATTTTATGAGTTACCTAAGTAAAATGTGGCCGAACCTTGGTTTTAAAATATGACAGATGGTAGCTAGATCTTTAACGCTATAATATGTCTGTTGTTTGTTTATATGTTTCTATGTCTGCATGTAAATTGTTTTTTATAATAAAAGTGTTTTGTGACGTTATTGAAGGTCGATGTCGTGTTTTATTGAGTTAAAACGTAAAGTTGCTTAAGGCGAGGATTTCTGACGTTAAAATGCTCTTAGCGATCCCTTCTTCGCTGCATTCATTTTTGTCTTGCACGAAGTAAGCGCGTGACATTGGGTTGACAAATAGTTACTTTATTTAATACGTTTTTATTTACTATAAGGAATCAAAGAAAAAAAAATAGCCGATTAAGTACCTAATTTAATATAATAAATACATGCCTTTCATATTACCGAAAAATATTATATGGTTATCGCTTAAAAACGAGAATGCAAACGTCAAAGTTTTTTCTTGTCGATTAAATTGTGTATTGTTTTATCTCGAATGATAAAAATTATTTTAAAATACATTTGACTATGAATTTAATTAAGTATTTTATGTATACCTATATTTTGCCAAGCATATATACTATGCAACATGTATTAATTTTCAAGCGCCAATATAGTGTCTAAAATACGATTTTTAGTCCAACCTGGTCGTAGTACACAACTTTTAACTATCTCTAGTATCGATAAATTCAAATGTTGTCCGTTAGGCCCGCCACATACATAAATGGAATTCCGTTTCGAGATTCCGTTTCGGAATTCCGAACGGGTCGGCCACACACATACGGAATCCCGTTTTGTGAAATTTTCCCGAAATTTCGAACGGAAAACTACCGTACGTGTGTGACGGGCCATAAATTTTATATGAACTTGCTGCGTTCGGAATTTCGCATCGGAATATCGAAACGGAATCCCGAAACCGAATTCCGTATGTATGTGGCGGGCCTTAGTGTCGCCAAAAAACGAAAACGGCTCGAACTATTTTGATGAAATTTTTTGTGTGCGTTTGAGAGTCGGGGTGGATCTAGCAATCTATATATATAAATAAAATTGAGGTGTACGGATTCATACATATAAATAAAATTGAAGTGTATGTCTGTAATATCGAAGTAAATGCCTGTTATTGAGCTGAGGGGGGCTTATTTGCATGCAATTGGGACATGACTAACCAATCTTAAAATTTTTGTGTCTATATACACAAAAAATTTAAGATATCATAAGAGTCATAATATATATAGACAAAAATACACATATACATATATGTTTGTATATCCGGGTTAATTTTCGGAGTGGCTAAACCATTTTAATGAAACTTCACGAACAGATAGAAAGCTATGCCAGGAGTGATCTGGGCTATATTTTATCCGAAAAACTTGGAGAATTTTCTTTGAGAAATCGAAAAATTTATAAAATACTATTTTAAAAAAATTAAACTGAAAAAAAAAATGAAATTGATCTATAATGGTTGTCTTAAAATCTAAATAACGCCACATTAATAGATCCCGGGTTACTAGTACCAAATAAAGTTTGTCCGATTTTCTACTTGTAAATCACTTTTTGCCAGAAATTTAAGATATCGTTTTTCATATTCCAAAAAAAAAATATCTCACATTTAGTACGTGTTAACTTGGGTTGAAATAAGCATTGTATGTTTCAAATAATATGTTTTAACGTAGATAGTTCTAGAGTCCAAAGAAGAGCGAGGTACACGGACCTCGTTTTACCCAAAAATATGGGCGAAATTGTGAAAGAAGTCATAGGTGTCGGAATCCAAAATCACCCGTGCGAAGGGGCGGATCGCTATTATATATGCAGGGTTATTTTGTAATAACCGGCCAAACTTGCAGAGAAGGTTAAGGTTGAAGGTTATAGAATAAGTAATGTAGGATAATGGTGAAGAAAAATTAGTTGAAAATATCTCATACATTCTGTCCTTTTTATCTTTTAAATTCAAAAAGCGTGGTAATGCATTATTTTAACTGTTTTTACTGTGCACGCACACGTTCGTAAGGGTCGCTCGGCAGGCAAAAAAGTTGTTGCCCATAAATCACATTCAATTTGGGATAATTTCGAATAAAATTGGAAGCCTTATTTACTCGTATTTTCAAAAACTGCAATAGCGGTATATCATTATTTATATATTTGAACTTAAGTTTAATATTTAGCTATTCTTTGAAAAATAACCCTGTATATATAATAAGTAATATTTGAATTCCATTACGTTTACTTTTAAGGAGTATGGATTAATATAAAATAGATAATTAATATCGCACGAATGTCGCTATCATTGTGTCAAAAATCACACATACATGCCTTTACGTCAGTCAAGTCCAAGCTTTTACCGTCTCACACGTGCACGCATGCCCTAGCTCACACTTGGTTTTGGGAGAGCAGCTTTGTTAAATATAGTAATAAAGGTAAGTTTTGCATGTATTATTATTTAAAAGATTTGAATTTAGAATATCGACTGTGCTTGTGTTATCTGTATTAATTTACTCTACAATCTTTGACTGTCTGTGTTAGTATCAAAATTGGAGGGAAACATTAAAAATTGTCCAACATGCTTTTAAAATTTTATGTAATGTATAAAACAATATGTTTGTTTTTATTATTACATATTACACAAAATTTTAAACGACATATTATACTAATTGATGAATTTTACTTCAGACTAGTCATATATGCCGTATGGTGACGATGAGAGAATGCATTCCCGTTTCTTCCTGTGGGTGTCATAAGAAGCGACTATGAGATGCTAGAAAAGCCTTATGGTTTTCGATAGATGGCGATACGATATCTCTCTTACGTCAGATGTAAAATGCCAACACCGTAGACATAAATCATTCATTCATTTCTAATGATCCGATCATTCAAGTATATATTCGTTTTACGATCTTGTTCATTCGGGTCGATCATGCAAATGGATCATTTCGAGTTTCAGTACTCTGTGATCTGTGAGACCCGCTCGATAATGTCGGTCGTCGGACATTTATTATTGTTTACAAATGTAATTGCAATCATCAATACTTACTATGCGACCCGGGCCAAATGAACGAATCATTCACGATTGACACACAGTCTACCAGACCGGCGACAGGCAGCAGCGCAACAGGTGTTCACGTGCAGTACAGCAATCGTCAATACGCCTGCTAAGTGTGACGATGTAGCCAAATCCTTCCCAAAATGAGAGAGGCTTTTGTACATGTCCAACAGTTGACTTTTACAGGTTAAGGAAGAAAAAAAGGAAGTCATAAATATCACATTGCAACGTCTAACACCTCAGTCCTCCCGAAACCACGGGTGCTACAAGTACTTAAAACATCGGGAATATAAAATAAGTTGATTAAACGCGATAAAATTCATAAAAATGACCTATGGGCCACAGCAACCACTTACCATCAGGTGGACTGTGTGCTCATTTGTCACCCTATCCTATATAAAAAAAAAACAATTTTTATTCAATGTGTAGTGTTCACGTAAATTTATTAAATCTTTATGTGTTTTATTAACCCTTACTACTTTTGGTATTTCTTTTAATATCAACAATAATAGAATAGAATAGAATAATTTTTTATTCAATATAGATCACATGTGTAATTTTTATTGAAAGTCATTTTTTACTTTACCACTGGTTCGAAATAATACCTCTGTCCTGGGAAGAACCAACAAGAAACCCAGCGGGACTTTTTTTTTAAAGCAAATTAAACAATAATGGTTGTACAAACTATATAAGTGCAAAATTTATTTTAGAAACAGCTTGGAAGCGATCACCTCATTCCCAGGGGTTATTATCAACCATGTATTCATTTATTCTATAATAACCCTTTTTATACAGTTTCAACTTAACAAAACATTTAAACTTGCTAATAAAGAGAGCCTGTACACTTTCCGGGATCTTGTTGCAATAGCGTATACATTGCCCCAAGAATGAATTACTGACTCTGTGGAGTCGAGAAACTGGTATCACTAGCTTGTGTTTGTTCCCAGTGTTTACAGAATGTATATCACTTTTTTTTAATAAAACTACCTTTGTTTTTGTGAACATACATTAAATTTTCGTAAATATACTGAGAGGCCAAAGTTAATATATTTATTTCTTTAAATGAATGGATTTCAGGTGAGCACACGGTGAACGGTGACCACTCCGACGCCCACCAGAGCACATTCTCCCACAGCAGTAAAGAGGTAAGCGGTTTAATTTGGTTAGAAGAGCTGCTGTTATATTAGTAGTATAGTTGTAGCACGAATTAGTCGGCTCGATTGGGGAAGGACCACGCTCTCACAGAATACCAGCTCAAAATAGCAGCTTAACGCTGCTGTGTTTCGTATGGTGAGTGTAGAGAACCGGAGACCCATTTTACTGGAAAAGAGGCATTTCATCTTAGTCCTCACGGGTTACGACGCATCTGCATTTTGATTCTTTATTGTGGATAAATGTAGATGTCTATGGGCCACAGCAACCACTTACCATCAGGTGGACTGCGTGCTCGTTTGTCACCCTATCCTATAAAAAAAAATACGATAGAACCTGAGTGGGATTAAGGGAAGCAAGTATTGTTGGCCACGCTGCCCCATTGCTTTTTAGGACTTTACATGTCTTCGAAATATTTTAATTGTTTTAGATATGCAAGTTTCCTTACCGTGTATTCCTTCACTGCCGAGGACGTGGTGATTAACAAAAACATATAGTCATCTCCGAAATTAGAGAAGACTTATGCTGAGCTGTGGGACTCATAAAGACTAACTTTACGTTAGGGTCGACGGAGTTAGTTGAATTGACTTTCTTCATCATATCATAAAAAAGTATAGTTAAGCCTACCTTAGTTTTGCCTACCTTACCTTGGACACCTTACCTCTCTCTCTCTCTACGTTAGACAATACCTTTAAGAGGTAGAGCCATGTAGCATCTACGAGGGTACATTTTTAAGTTCGCGGAATGGGTAGGTAGGTAATAAGTGGGGACGTCGCTGAATTACGTGCTAATTGAGCAACTTTCTAACAGTGATAAAGCCACGCGGCAGAATTGCTGTCGCACGGATGGGCCGGCTCGAACCGGGGTGGTACCACGACCTCACAGAATACCAGCGTAAAGTAGAGGTTTACCTCTGCGTCTCGCTTGGTGAGTGCAGGTGGCCGGAGGCCCTTTTTACTGGAAATGAGGCATTCCATCTTAGTCCTCACGGGTGACAACGCATCTGCAATTTGATTCGCAAACGAGGATAGATGTAGATGTCTATGGGCCGCAGCAACCACTTACCATCAGGTGGACTGTGTGCTCGTTTGTCACCCTTATCCTATAAAAAAAAAAACTCATTATTAGTATAAATACCGGGTTTTATTGTAATTAGATCATTAGTCTTTGAGTTATCGTCAACCAAACAAGTTAATCGGGAAGAAATTATGAAATATGGAGATAATCGAGTTCCGTGCCGTTATAATGCATCCTCGCCAAGCGCGGAAAAGATGTCATCCGTTTACGCAGACTCTTGTCCAAGTAAAACTATGGTTTACAAGTGGCAAACCCTTTTTAAACAAGGCAGAGAGTCATTTGAAGACGACCCACGGCCAGGAAGGCCGATCGAGGTGACCACTTCGGAAATTATTCAAAAAGACGAAAAATTTATATTAGAAGATGCCCGCCTAAAGAAAAAACAGCTCACAGAAATGGTTGGAGTATCAGATACAACCATTTTCAAAATTCTTCATGACCATCTTGGCATGACTAAAGTCAAGATGGGTGCCTAGAATGCTCACGCCGCCTCAAAAGCAACAGCGCGCATTTTTGGACTTTTGTATGGAAGACAAAGATGGAGTATTGGCTCGAATTGTTACTGGTGACTTAACTTGGGTTCACCACTATGAACCTGAGTCCAAACAGGACTCTATGCAGTGGCACAAAAAAGGCACACCACCACCCAAGAAATTTAAGGTGGCACAATCAGCTGGGAAAATCATGGCGACAGTGTCTTGGGACTCAGAAGGAATCCTATTGATTAATAATAAAGATAACGATGTTTCCATAACCAGAAATTATTACGCTTCAATACTAGAACAATTGGAGGAAGCCATAAAGGAGAAAAGAAGGGGAAAATTGACCAAAGGAATCCTTCTTCTGCACGACAACGCGCCTGTTCACAAGTGCCATGTTGCTATGGCTGCCCTGTAGAAGGTAGGCTTAGAAATTTTGCAACACCCACCCTATAATTCTGACCTGGCCCCCAGTGATTATTATCTATTACCAAACTTAAAAATAGAACTTCGTGGAAAAAAGTTTTTAAGTGATCAAGAGTTGAAGGAAGAAGTTTCGGCGTATTTTTTAGACAAAGACAGATCATATTTTTGAGAGTATATAAGTTAATTGAAAGATCCAAAAACTAAATTAGGGTAGCAGGTGAATATATTGAAAAGGATAAATAAAGTTAGATTTTTATTTCCACACCTTACCCCCATTCCGCGACCTTAAAAACGCATCATCGTATATTATGGTTGTAAAACGATTGGATCGGTTTGACCGGGGAAGCACCCGGTCTTAAAGAATACCAGCGTAAAATAGTAGCTTAACGCTGCTGTGTTTCATATAGTGTATATAGAAAACCGGAGATCCTTTCTACTCGAAACTAGGCATTCCATCTTAGTCCTCACGGGTGACAACGCATCTGCATTTTGATTTTTAATCGAAGATAGGTGTAGATGTCTATGGGCCACAGCAATCACTTACCATCAGGTGGGCTGTGTGCTCGCTTGTCTCCCTTATTCTATAAAAAAAAACACCTGAGTGATATAATCCAATGGGTCTGTAAACTGAAGTGGCAATAGGCCGGCAGTATGGCTCCATAATCGACAACCGATAGAGAAAGTTCTATAGTGCCAGCATCGTACCAGCATAATAATCATGTCATCCAGGCCGAATTTATTCGCCAACAAACTGTCTTTACAGTTTGGCGAAGTTATAATGTTATGTTTCTGTAAATGTTGGTAAATAAATTGAAAAAAAAGGTCACGGCGGCCATTCTCAAAGTCTCAAGACCAGATTATAGTGCACGAGTGTATGCGCTAGCACAGGTGCATTCTCTATTCCCTCTTCAATAGTCCAATGGGACGGAAATCCGACACGACCGGAGAGAGATCAGGCGCAGAACCAAAGGCTTTACCTATTCCCGAGGCACCGTTGTGAAACACCGCCAATTTGATTACAGGTAGTTTCTGAAAATTTCTGGTAACTATGATAAATATCTTCTCTATGGGGAAATCTATGGGGGAGGCCTATGTTCAGCTGCATTTGGTCTGTTTGTGATGGATAGATGTATAGAAGATAATCTACCAGGAGCACATGACTCACAGAGAGGTGAACTATGGCAAATATCCCCTATAAAGCAATAGGGGAGGCCTATGTTCAGCTGCACCTGAGCTGTAGTGGATAGATGTATAGAAGATAATCTACCAAGAGCACATGACCCACAGAGAGGTGAACTATGGCAAATATCCCCTATAAAGCAATAGGGGAGGCCTATGTTCAGCTGCACTTGAGCTGTAGTGGATAGATGTATAGAAGATAATCTACCAAGAGCACATGACCCACAGAGAGGTGAACTATGGCAAATATCCCCTATAAAGCAATAGGGGAGGCCTATGTTCAGCTGCACTTGAGCTGTAGTGGATAGATGTATAGAAGATAATCTACCAAGAGCACATGACCCACAGAGAGGTGAACTATGGCAAATATCCCCTATAAAGCAATAGGGGAGGCCTATGTTCAGCTGCACTTGAGCTGTAGTGGATAGATGTATAGAAGATAATCTACCAAGAGCACATGACCCACAGAGAGGTGAACTATGGCAAATATCCCCTATAAAGCAATAGGGGAGGCCTATGTTCAGCTGCACTTGAGCTGTAGTGGATAGATGTATAGAAGATAATCTACCAAGAACACATGACCCACAGAGAGGTGAACTATGGCAAATATCCCCTTATGAAGCATTCTACAGGGTACGCCTATGTTCAGCAGTGGACTGATAGGCTGAGATGGTAACGATAAACGTAGTGATATATATACGCTGGAGCTCTACGCGGGTAAAAGCTGGTATTGAATAAATATTTCTACTTAACATATTTGAAATATCTTGCAGGGATCCCCGTCTAAGGAGGTCTCCACCGAAGACTCGCCCAAGAAGGACAAAAAGAAGAAGAAGGGTCTCCGGACGCCGTCCTTCCTCAAGAAGAAGAAAGAGAAGAAGAAGGAGAAGTCTAGCACGCCGCAGCCCGCCTAGAGGTAAATGTCTGACGCCTAATTTAAAATAACTAGGTGACTGGAGTTGTGGTTTGCTTATTTTCATAAATTGTGATGTTTCTTTAGCAAAGAGTTTAGGACCGCGGGTTCGGATCCCGCACGAAACAAGCATTTGTATGGTCTACAAATGATTGTTCTGGGTCTGGATGTTTACCCTAGTAACTTATGTTTGTAAACTGCTCCACGACACAGGAGAAAATCTCAGTAAAAAAAAAATTTGAAGAAAATGACTTTAGCAGTCCATACGCATTGGAGCAGGGAGCCGTGGTAGCTTAGGTGCTAAGCGCTTGCTCTAAATTTCACAGTACGCGAGCAACCCGGGTTCGATCCCCGTCGGCACCAATTAAATTGTTAATTGCAATTTTAACTGCTGATTTACCAACATCGTGAGGAAACCTGCATTACTGAGAAATAAGAAAAAAAATTTTTCTTCGAATACATGTTAGGTTCGCCAACACGCGTCTCACGCATTCAACAGGGAGGATTTTGCCATATTTGTCCCAATTGGCAGGCGGGTTGGCAACCACAGTTTTTTTATTATTATTTTGAGTTGTTATAAGCAAGATGGTGCTGCCCATCTTCTATTTTAGCTTCCCTCTGTCGCCTCTTACGCCCGTAATAACAAACGTTACTCAACGACGAACTCAAGTGCGTAATCATTTGATACGCCCTCAATACGATATCAGCATTTCAAGATCGTTGCTTATTAATAAACACATAAAAACAATATCTCAAAACGCTATACTTTGGAATACTGTTCTGTGACTTGCACTCAAGTTCACATACTTGAGAGTCGAGTTTCGTTTATTAATCAGTGTGTCACTCAGCTGATATCATAAACCTAAACCACATCTTGAGATATGTTTATTAATAAGATCATAACCTCAAGATTGTACTCAAGTGCGTGTACTTGAACTGAGTAACGTTTATTAATACGGGCCTTAATTTCACAGATATGGAGTAGTGGGTTATCTACATATAAATAGGTATATAATGAACGATTTTCTTATTTCCAGATAAAGCTCCAAAACAACACTGCCATGTCGCTTTCAAAATACCTCGTAATTTTTAAGAGCAAACTCCAGAATTACAATTGTATTATTCATTATACACCGCTTATACAGTTCGATGAGACGGTGGTGAGATCCCTGAGATTTTAAGTTCGCATGGTTTGACCCACCTATGTATTAGCAAACGCGAATTAAAACCGCCCTTCGGTTCTGAGTGTGTTGGCCGAAACCTGAGCACTGATAGAACTGAGCCACTACGATTTCGACTAAACACTCGGGCCTGAGTGACTAATGACTTTAAAGTTAAGGGCTAATATAGACGGGATTTTATTTATTTGACAAATGATTTTTATCGATTTTTATAAAATTTCCAAAATGAAATTGATTTCTTATGACTTGCCAACAAACTCTTATGAAATTTCTTATTTTATATTGTCTAGTTTTGTCCGAATTGACAGTTTTCATCGAAAGATATTTTTTTAATTATTGTAATTTTTAATTATTTTTAAAAGCTAATTCCATATTGGTCTTAAAATGGAACTACGCGAGTTTTATTTACGTCTACTTATCTAATAGAAGAAACTATTAGATTAAGGTGTTTTAATGTGTTTATTTTAAATTTTAATCTAATTTAATTAATTTACCACTTCCATTTTTTAATTATAAAAATATTTTACGATTAAAACTGTCGTTCCGGATATATGGTGCATTCTTACAAGTAATTCTTCACCAGCATCTAATGCTTTTCGTGTTAAGGGGCTCGACCATTTTGATTAAAGCCCCACGCCATTTTGTGCTTTTTAAAATTTAATTATAATATAAGTATATCCACACAAAGTCAACTCGAAACGCATGCTTCAAATTAAAAAAAATCATCAATTATTAAGAAAACAATTTTCATTTGAAAATAAGGTACAAATATCTTTTAAAGCGAGCTAAAAAAGCATGCAATTGGAGTTGTTATCTATACAATGTGGACATAGCTTGCGGCATAGACTATAGCACCCGTATATCTGTCAAAATTCCCGCCCGACATCTGTCAAATTATGATTTTGACGTAAATACAAATTGGTGATAATTTTGACAGGTGTATCATTTGTGACATCTGCCAATACATATATGGAGTAATTGAAGAAATATAATATATATAAGCACTCTATCGATTTAACTTTAAGAAGTTATCGGCTAGCTAACTTGTAGTGTTAATTTCAACATGGCGGTGATTTCGACTCCAAAACTTCCATTGTATGAAATCAATGTACTTTCCAACAGTAATTTAAAGGTTCAATAAATCTTTAAGTACCCAATAAACGTAGCAAAGCATTTAAAAAACGTAAAAAAAATATAGATCCGCTTCTTCATCGCCGCCATTTTGAAAATAATACGTCTATAGTACATTAAACAGAATGTTGTTAAGCTTGGGCCCAGATTTTAATTTCAAACATAAATTTTATATTTTTTATTATTTTATTGCATGTAAACGCGGGCCCAGCATCAATTTGACATTACCTAGAATTAGTCTAGAGTTGTTAAAATGACAAGTTGATTTTTTTTTAATACGTTATATGGGACATCGCGTTACGTCCCGTATTTATAAATATTAAGTACTTGTAATATTATAGAACTGTGGACACTGGCATTCTATGCGACTTCGTGTAATTTGTATTTGGAATAAATTATTAGTTTTAAAGCAACTTTTTATTTTTTTTAATCCTCTATTTTAGTCTCGTCCCGACCGTCACAAATGTTGCCAGGCGATTGAAGCTGGATTTTTTAGTAGTCGATAAGTTTTTAGCTTAAAAGAGTTTATTTGTATCATGTATTTTTTTATTTCTAAAATATATGCTGTTTGGAATATTTATTATGGAGCATGTTGTTTCATTTTTTTTATTATCTCTTTTAGAAAACCAAAGTAGGCTATTCGTGCAATTCTATCCATCCTGGTTGGCGGTCCACCACCGTGCGTCTTACACAGAATTTTGTGAAACGCACGAACATATGGAATTTACTGTCGCCAACGGTTCTTTTCCACCGATTAGACTTAGGGACCTTCAAGCAAAGAGCCTACTCCTTTCTAAAACAACAACCGGCAACGTTACAAATTAAATTAAATGAAATGAAGATTTATTTGCTTTGAAAAGGGTACATTTAGGTGGTTATTGTAAAGTGTAGTTCAGCTTTTTTAGCCATCTATGAATATCATTCAAATACATTTTTTATAATTAAGTTTACTATATTACAATATCAAATTCAATTAAAATATTTATCGGTATGTCATCGTTTACAATTTAGCAATACATACAAATTTAAAAATAATTAAGATTATAATGCAATTAAAAATATAGAACTACTGTTGTGTCACATCATGTCAAATTTAGGTTATTCAAATTATAAAAATAATGTTCATTTAACCACCTGTAAAGGGTGCCTGTAAATCTATTAAGGGGTAAGTCTTGTATTTACGAGTATTTTATTAAATATGAGAATACACATCCAGTAGCAGATTTTATTTAAATCGAGCACTTGGTATGTGAGTGATCAGTGATCACCGTCATATATAAACATCTGCAACACAAGGGTAATGCATTAACCATGGTGTCGCAGATGTTTATGGACGACGGTGATCACTTACCATCAGGTGAACCGCATGCTCGATTGCCTCCTCTTCCACTAAAAAAATTGCAGTTTGCTGATTTATCAGACAGTATAATTACACACTGCGAGTGTAAAGTCCAACCGTACCTTTCTACTGGCGTTAACATTTTAAAACCAAAGGAAACGCTATAGTTGACAATTATAAAAATGTCTTAGTATTCATATGTACGTATTCATCTATACCGCGGCGCAAGCGAACTCATTAAAATAACATATAACATAAATACATTAACATTTAACATTATATTTTTAACTCGCAGAATACCAGTGTAAAATAGCAGTTCAAAGTTGCTATGTTTGGTCTGGTAAGTGTGAGAACCGGAGACCGTTTTTACTGGATACAAGGCATTCCCTCGTAGTCCTCAGGGGGGGACAACGCATTTGCATTTTGATTCCTAATTGAGTATAGATAACGAAGTCTATGTAGCATTTACCTTGAGCTGTGTGCTTGTCACCCCGATTCTATAAAAAAAACATTATTCATTATCATCATTACAGCCCTTCACAAGTCCACTGCTGAACATAGGTCTCCCCCAAGGAATGCCACAAAGCACGGTCCTGAGCCACCTGCATCCATCGAATTCCTGCATGTCTTACCAGGTCATCACTCCATCTAGTGGGGGGGGGGGGGGGGGAGCGCCCTACACTTCGTCAGCCGGTACGAGGCCGCCACTCGAAAGCCTTTCTTCCCCATCGGTTGTCGGTTCTTCGAGCTATATGACCGGCCCATTGCCACTTCAGCATACTAATCCTTTGGGCTATGTCGGTTACTCTGGTTCTACTGCGGATATTCTCGTTTCTAAGTTTATCACGCAGAGAATCCCCGAGCATAGCCCTCTCCATAACTCGCTGAGCGACCTTGAGCTTCCTCATACATAAATACATAATTTAACAAATTTTAATCTTATATTTGTCACTTGTTTAAAAACTGTTTTAATATATACCTTAAATTATTATTGAACATTCGTCTCATACGCGACCAGTGAGGTAGGTATTCCTTAGGTGACAATGCATCTGTTACCTTCTTTGTTTCAAGATGACAGCAGAAGACATCATCAGATGGATTGTAAGTTCGTTTGTCACTTCATTTTTATAAAAAAAAACCGTTACAGTAATAGTGAACTTAAGTTTTTCAAAAAATTTTAAAGGGCTGTGCCCCTAGTAAGATATTTTTATTTTGTAACGTCATTATCATTACGGTCCGCGCATGCCGGGCTGAAGTTGGCTTGCCCAGACATACGCCCGTGTACAGACGCCAGTCGATAAAGATGTGCCACTTCCAAAGAGATTTAAATATATAGGTATACTAACTACTTAAATGTCTTTGGCCACTTCATATTCGCTACTAAGATTGTTCAAGGAAACAGTTTGTTTTGTCTAATATTAAAAACTATTATTATAATGTAAATATCTTTATGTATTTCAGTAAAACAATATTATCTAGTAAAGAATTTCCATAAACAGTTTGAATATAAGTATGTATAATAGTAAATACACGGTATCAGCGGAGACTATAAATTATTTCAGTAACCACAAACTAATATAACTAAATTTTTCAAAAAAATATTTACATGTACATCATCAAAATAGAGTTACAATATTGTTAAATAGTATTTATGCGTATGTATTAACATTGTATTTGTGTATTTCGGTATATATAGGGTTATTTTTCAGAGTAGTCAAATTTTAATCTTAGGTTTAAATGTATAAATAATGATATTTGTAATTGAAAATATATATAACAGCTCCAGCCCTACATACCAATTGCACAGTTATGAACAGGTCTATGTAGTATAGTTGCAGTTGTCCACCCCCTGGACTGAACCTAAATATAGGAAAAAATGTTCTTTAATGAGTTTATGTTTTTATAGTTATACAAATAAATATTAATGGGAGACTAGGGAATGCAATCTCGGGAGATTTTAGACTTAACTGTCATCTCGCGAGACCATAGAGCCAGTCTCACGAGATTGGAGCTTTACGGCATCATGGGAGATTGGGTATTTTTTACTAAAAACGTATGCAAATGCTCATAATTCTATTTACTGATTATCATGCAGGTCATTTACCCGTCAGGATTTATTGCGCGTACTAAACGTAGTGATTATATTCCCTTTGGCGCGTACAGCTGCGCTATGATACACACAGATTATGCTGCCCCGCTCAATCTCGCAATCTAACGAGATCTTGGACAAAAATTTTACGAAATTCAGTCTCGTAAAATATGGACGAGATCTCGTGAAAACGAGATTGTATTCCCTGTGGGAGACCCACAAACTTGGTGATTATAAATATTTAAAAGCAAAATTTCTACCATTTATTTTAAAAAAAAACAATTTGACGGATTCCTGTCTGACGTTAGTTTCAAGTTCAGTTGTATAAAATTTTTAAGTTACTAAAGAAGCTATTGTAAATAATGTTATTAAAATCCTTTAAATAAACGCCATAATGGGAGCGTCCGCAGACGCACAGATATGGCGAATGCTGGAAAGGCTTATTTATTGAACACAATAATACAAAAACATAGATATACCTAGATTTATACGTGGTAGAGCCGTGCTGCAGCTATATTATGGTTTTAGCACGAATGGCTCGGCTCGACCCTGGTAGGACCACGCTCTCACAGAATGCCAGCGTAAAATATTCGTATGGTGAGTGTAAAGGGTTCTAAAATCAAAAAATTACTCCGGGTGTAATAAAATGTATCCAGACCAGAGACAAAATGCATTCCGCGGTTAAAAAACATCCTTATAACAATACCTTAAAAATATCTTATGTTCGTTATAAAAATTACTGTAATAACTTGTTAAAAAATCTTAAAATTGTCTTTGAACAGTCGGAACTGAGGTCAGCCTCAAGAGATCCTAAAAATACTTGGAAAATTATACGACGACTAGCAAACCTAGATGATATAAAAATTACTTTTAACGACCTTTTAAAATTGCGCACGTCCCCTCTAGAATCAATAGAAGAAGTTAATGTTTTCTTTGCTACTATCGGTAGTCAGCTTGCAACTAAAATCCAATCCAATCCAATCCATAGTTCGGACGACGATACTGATTATCAACCTCTCTGTCCATTACACTCATTTGCACTTCTACCAACCAATGACGCTGAAGTGGCCTCTATTATTCGAAACCTGAAAAATGATTCCGCCCCTGGTTGGGATAATATTTCCACAAAATTGCTTAAAATTACAGAAAATATGATCGTCCCGCCTCTAACAAAAATATTTAACTTATCGATGGATACTGGAGTTTTTCCAAATGTTTTTAAAATTTCGACCATTCATCCTATTCACAAAGGGGGAGACAAAAATGATATTAACAATTACCGACCGATCTCAATTTTACCGGTAGTATCGAAAGTATTTGAGAGGATAATGTGCAATAGGCTTATTAGATATTTGGAAAAAAATAATTTATTATCTGAATCCCCGTAACGGATTTAGGGCTGGCAGATCGACGGAAGATGCTGTGTCTAATTTAACTAATTACGTCGTAAATCATCTAGATGGTAAACGCAAATGTTTGGGTATCTTCCTAGACCTTAAAAAAGCTTTTGATACAGTTTCCATACCCAAGCTGATAAATAAAATGGAAAACATTGGGATACGTGGTAAGGCTTTAGATCTTTTTTCAAACTACTTACAAAATAGGGTTCAAAGGGTTAAAATTGATAATTACTATAGTTCGGACGCCTCGATAACATATGGTATTCCGCAGGGGAGTGTCTTGGGTCCGAGTCTCTTTTTGATCTACATCAACGATCTATGCCAGTTACATCTTAATAATGGAAAAGTGTTCGCTTTTGCTGATGACACAGCATTCGTTTTTCACGGAGAGACTTGGGATGAGGTACGAAAGACTGTGGAGATAGAATTTTGTCGGGTGATTCGATGGCTTAGACAAAATCTTTTGACAATCAATCTTCAAAAAACTAAATTCCTTCCCTTTTCAATTAGAGGAGACCCCATAGTTAATAGTATTAATTTTATCAGGGCTCATGAATGTGGAAATAACAATAATAACACATGTTCATGTATCTCTATTGAAAAAGTATCTATATTTAAATACCTAGGTATTTATCTGGACTCGAAACTCAACTGGCAACATCATATTAATACAGTATCAGCACGCATTCGCTAATTAGTTTGGGTTTTTAATAAATTACGACGGATTTCAGATATAACTCTTTTAAAAACAGCATACT